TCCCCCTCCCCTTCATCACGCCTGTGCTCCACTATCCCCTCTCTGTTTTAGAAAAGGGCACAAGGCTCTCCATATGTAGTATTTCTTTCAAGTTTTGACATCATTGCAGATGCACGGAAAAGTGGGAGGAGAAGAGAGTCCGGGCGTCCCTCTCTTCCCCTCCCAGAGTTCAGCGAGCCAGTACTTTGTTCCCTTTGCATCCTTTCTCACAGGATTTCTAATCTGTTTGAAATCTGAGGACATAATACCTTGTCCCCCTAAGTATTTCAGTGTAAGGATCCTAAGGATGAAAGCATCTTCTTCCGTAAGCACGGTGTTATTATGAGGGTTAGCACTTCATATGGAGCCTATGCTTTCCCCGTGCAGAATGCATTCACACTTCTTCGAGCGCAACAGAAAGGCCAGGTCATATGCTGCGATCATTCATCCTGATTTTAGTCCCCAGTAGTGGGGGACAGGCCCACATCTGTGTGTGTTTTGTGACATTTACACTTTGCAGAGCATAGGCTAGTGACTTTGTAAACCACGAGAAGCATCCTAGGCTGGATGTCTTCCTCATAGATGCAGGCTGTAGCACTCTTGCCAAGAAGGAGACTCGCCAAAGAATCCTGCGTTCGCCTTGATGCCTCACATCAGGAGGTACATGATGCTGACTGGTCCTTTTACAGCTGTTGTTAACATCAGGTGGTCAAATTGGTGCCTGCTAAGTTGTATGTAATCTCTCGTAGGCATGGAATGTGTGTATATATTAATGTGCATGGCTGGGACAAGGCTAATAAGCTACAGGTGTAAAAACTCAGTAGAAAAGGCCTTGGGGCCTGAGCTGCCAAGTTCAGATGCAACACATGCAGAGTACATATAATCCTCTAAGCAGTGTCAGAACCATGGATACTAGATGGTAGAGCCATGGTTGATTATCCTGGACGGTAGAGCCATTGTCGATTAACACAAAATAGTTCCTTGAGTTCAGATAATAGCAGGATAGGTTCAGTCTAGACCTGTCATAACTATTGCTAAATTCTGGAGTCTAGACTGATAAAGTCCTTATCTGAGGGAGATGGAAGGTTGTTTCAGTTGTGCTTTCTAAATACATTTTAAAAGGGGGGGGTGTGCATAGTTACTTAAAGTTGGTATGTTTTATTTTTAAAGACCTATTTTTCAAAAAAAAAAAATCTTGAGAAATAAGATTTGTTTTAATGAGCATTTAGAAACATAGTTGTAGAGTGGCCCTTTGTTCGTTTGTTTGTTTGCTTGTTTAAATCACTATGTAGCCTGGAACTGGCTATTTAGACCAGACTGGCTTAAAACTCACCAGCATCCACCTGCCTCTGGGATTAAAGGCATGTGTCACGATGCCCAGCTCTTTAGAATTTTGGTCTCCTCATTTAATGAATTCTTCATTTGTTTGATAGCATAAGCAAAAGGCAGGATGTTAACTACCAGCTCCACTTCCAAGAGTTTGTGGTGAGAGATCTCAGGGAATTGAAATAACCATGAAATCGGCCCAAGTCCCTTGAAATAAACAGCAGGTAGAGTTGTTCTTCATCCCACCAGACATTGTTCTACTCTGCTGTAGACACTCCCAGATCAGTGGTCCCTCAGAACGAGGGGGGGGTGAGGGGGTTCAGTTAACAGTGATGCTGCCCATATAAACAATTACATTTCTGCTAAGTTTGCTAAGGCAGAGGACCTCATTTTAGGACTTTCCTTGTATGTCAACTTGGATTGTCCTTATTTACCCCTTACTTTCTGGGTTGGCTCAAATAGACTGTCACTGGAAATCTGGAGCTCATTAGCTCATCCTTTACCCACCCCCCACCCCCACACACACGCACACATACAACCCAGGCTGCTTCTGCTGGGGAACTCAGACCTAGGATAGAGTTACAAGTGAGTTCTTAAGTCTCCCTGCATGGTGGAGAGTGGGAAGCATACATGTGAGTAACAGCTTTAGGCCCTTAACCCAGGGCCATTCTACAAAGGGCTTAAGAGGGAATCATCTGGCAGACAGAGGCACCGTGTGGCTTATGTGGACTTGTCTGGTTGTTGTAAATGCTGTCAGAGCTTACCCAGCACACAGGACGCTGATAATTCTCCTCCCTGAGAGTTGGAAATCATGTGATTCCAACAGCAGCCAGCACTTACCGCTGATATACCAGGAGTTGATGCAAGCTTGTGACACAAATTAATTAATTATATTTTCATTACCCCCTAGGGACTACTCTAGTGCATCCCACATTTTCTAAATAAGGAATCCATCCACTTGGGTTAGCTTGGTCAAGGTTACACAGGCAGACGGGCTCCCCTTCCATACCCCCTTTAACATGAGCATAGACTCCCTTTCCAGATAAGTTTGGAGTTACCAGAGAGGTACCTAACCACCCAGAGGAAGAGTAAGTAGAAAAACGAAGGCACTGAAGCTGCGGGCTGTCATCTCCAGCCTTCCAGCTGGGTTAAATCTTGGCATAGGCATCCTCATTCCTCACCCCCAGACCTGCCTTCTTATTCATCTTCCTGGTCTCTCTCCTCTAACTATAAGCAGCCATGTATCCCTGCATTATATTCTAGAATTTTGAGAAAGAGAAGAGAGAAAAAAACAAAACAAAAAAAAAAAAAACATGATTCCTTCAGCCTTTGATCCTAAATGCAGACTGCCTTGAGGTCAGCTTTGGAATTCAACCCAAATACACATTGCTGGTCCCCAGCACAGACCCTCCAAGATGAACTTTCTGGGCTGGGCCTAGAAAGATCTTACTCTACCAACCAGGCTAGGAACCAGCAGCAGACACAGTGCCAACTGCATATGGCCACCTGCTTTACTGTCTCCCACTTTGGGCTGTAAGGTCTCTTGATGAGGCTTGCACATCAGGTTCACCTAGCAAAGTCCCTGGCACTTAGCCAGCAATAAACAACTATGCTGCATGCACGTGTGAGAAGATTACAGGGCAATCTCTTTTGAGAGGTTTTTAGGGGATTTAGGGGGATTGTTTAAACCAGGTTTCCTCCAAGCCAGTGAGTATCAGTGCGGATTTCCGGAAGTCATAGATACAAACATACGGTAGTGGCATGGCTATCCTCTTCTCCCTGTGGCTGTTTTTCTAACTGCCTCTCCAGGTGGTGGCAGACCTGTCAGCCAGCTTAGGAAATGATCCACCCAAGGATGCTGGCGTTCTGTTTGTTTATAAAGCTGAGCTGCAAGGGATCCACCGACAGGGAGCTTCCCAGACCCCTGCCTGGCCGCGGTTGCCTGGTTCTGAGGGAAGAGAGCTAAATGCAGTGCTGGTCTTGAAGTTACTGGCGGGTTAGCAAGTCTGTATCGTACCAAGCATCACGGCAACTTACTCATGGAGTGAACCAAGGTGCCCTCCGCCCTGGAAATGAGGCAGGGCCGGTTGTCACCCCACAGAGCAAGATATGGAAAAGATGTGTACGTAAGGGATACAGGCACAGAAGGTGATGTTTCCAGTGGAAGAGAACAAGGGCACAGATAGAGTGAGAAATCAGGCCCAAGGCCATTGGCCCCCAGGCACGGGGGTTGCCATGTTCCAACAAGCTGGTGACTTAACAAAAAGGGGTTTGGTTCCGGGCTCTCAAGGCCAGAGCTACAAGGATATAATGATAATTTGTTGCTGTCTTCAGAACTCCTTCAGATCCTCCAGTGTGTGGCTGCTGGAGTGCTTGCTCAGCACACACAGGCTGTCCCCTGAGCTGCCATCACATCTACTGAGAAGGGAGAGACTCCCAAAGTCAAGTTTGCAGCTCCGGGTCACTGCCTGGCAGTCCTTACAATGGTATGAATCTGTTTACAATCAGCACCGTGGCCCTAGAAGTCCACAGTCTGCAGTGCTTACCATGGCAGTGATGGGGACTTGCTTTGAACCTGGGGCGCATCTGCACCCTACCTGTCTCCTGTTTCTTTTGCAATGGTGTGACTCTCGCCATAGCATTGTGCTCTGAGTGGTTTGTTGAAATTGTCAGTTTTAGTCTAAAACATCAGTATGCATGGGTATTAATGGTTAACACACTGGGCACTCAAGTATGAGGCGTGGGGTTTGAGTCCTCAGAGCCCACATAAGTATCAGGTGACATGGTGGCCCACCCATAATTCTAGTGTGTTGGCAATGTCAACCTCAGGGTGTGTGTGTGTGTGTGTGTGTTTGTTAAAACGGAGGAGCTCCATTTACTGAACATAACCTCATTATGGTTGGAGCCTTTACAGGCATTCTTGCCAGGGTACAAACCCCAGCCTGTTGCTTCTGTGACATTGGCCTTGAGTCATTTATAATAGAAGCTCTTGTCTTGCCCATCATTACCTTTATTATAACAATATAACGAAGACATTCTACGCATGTGACCCAAGGCCTCTCGGTAAAATGTGAACAGCTAAGAGCAGAATTGTGCCAGCCATCACTGTCCTTTTCTTCACCCTCCTAAAAGAAGAAAAGAGCTGGAGAGTTGTTCAGGGGGTGAAGTGTTTGCTATGCAAACTTGAGGACCTAAGTTCAGATCACACACACACACACAAAATGACCATAATGGCACAATGCTGTAACTCCGGTGTGAGTAGTGGGATTCCTGGGTTTGCTGGCTAGTCTGCCTCACCCAGTAGTGAGCTAAAATCAATGAGACCTTGTCTTGAAAAATGAGGTGAAAACTAACAGTGAAGATGCCCAGAGTTGACCCCTGACCCTGCACTCCACATGCACAGGGAAGGGTGTGCACATGCACACGAAGGCAGGGGAGGGTAGGTAGCTGCTGTTATCTGCTGAGTGCTATGCCTTACTTGCTGCATGGCTTCCTCTAGCTTTCTCCTGGCCTGTCCCCCATGCCCATCTCCCCTTCAGTTCTCATGTGAGCCTTTACAGAAGCCATTGCCTGCAGGCGATGTCATCAGGGGCTGACTGAGAAAAATGTTCTTCCCAAGTTGGAGGTCTGAGCACCAAATGCTGTGATGCCAGTAGATACCCAAATAAACGTGATGTGATGTGCTTTCTCCCCAGATCGGCCGTGGATTTGGAACATTCCTTATGTCAAAGCACCTGATACACATGGGAACATGTGGGTGCCTTCCTGAGACAAAAAGCTGTGAAGTTTGAGTGTCAGACACTGAATGCTCCTGTTTGTAGTGAATGTTCACCTCCCTTGAAATCTTCCTATTTGCCCCGTACCAAACTCTTTGCAGAAGTCAGCTTTGGTTTTGTATCTGGTGGTCACCGTCAACATTCTCACTAAGAAGTGTTACTTCCTCAACTCACTTTTATAAGTTCTTGAAAGCAAGAACTCCATTAAACTCCATCGTGTTTAAAATGTGTATGTGACTGGAATGAAATTACCAACCCCCAGCAAGCGTGCAAAAACCAGGCACGGTGGCAGTGCATTGTAACCCGTGTGGGTGATGGGAACCCTGTGTTTCACTTGCTACACAGCTTAGCCCAGACGGTGAACCCGAGGTTCAGCGATGCTGCCAGCTTGACTTTGTGTTGGATGTTCCCACTGTCCATGTCCTGTAGTGGGATGTTTTACTGTTTTTGCTCTTTAGTCTTTGGGGGTCACCCACCACCCCGGTCACAAATAAATCACTCACGGAGGCTTAGTCTTACGTGGGAACACCCAGCCTTAGCTTGGCTCTTTGTTGCCAAGCTTGTTTCTTGTTAGCCCGTCCACCTTTTGCCTCTGCCTCTTCCTTTCCTTGCTTCTGTGTCTTACTTTCACTCTCCTTGGCTGGCTGGGTAGCTGGGTGCCGGGCCCCTAGCATCCTCCTCCATTTGTCCTTGCTCCTTCTTGTCCCCATTTCTCCTTCTGTTTATTCTCTCTGCCTGCCCCGCCTACTCTTGCTCCTGCCTCACTATTGGCCGTGCAGTTCTTCATTAGGACCATCAGGCGTTTCGGGCAGGCAAAGAATCACGGCTTCACAGAGTTAAACAAATGCAGCATAAACAGAAGCCACACACCTTAAAATAGCACTCTATAGCCGTGTCCAGAGATGCTCCTCCTTCACCTGCTCAGGGAAAGAGCAGGATCATTTGTTCCTCCGCCCTGACAATTTTCAATCTTCCTGGAGCCCTGCTATGGAAGGAAGTTAGGGAAACCTCTATGCTGGCAGGAGAAGCCAACATAGTGGTGCCAGGCCTAATCCAAGATACCTAACATCCTGTGCATTGGTCTCCCAGCTGCAAGACTAAAGTGACGATTGCACTACTGCAGGGAGTCCACACCAGCACCTGGAAAGTGCACGTGGTCACACATGCACAGCATGCACAGGCTGAGAAAGATGCGGGGCCACACCCGCAGCCAGTCATCATGGTGACCCTCAAGTTCCTGACTCACTTTGCCTACTTGCCTTAGGTTGGTCCCCTGGTCACACACGTAGACCACTGGATCCCTGAAGACCCACCTAATCGAGATTCTATAGAGTGGCCCAGGAGAAACTACAGTGGTAACCTCAGAGGCCATCTGCACACAAGAGGTTTGCTCTCCAAATGTCTGCAAACCTGTGCCACTCTCACAAACATGGGCTCTGCAAGGAGCAGGTCTGAGCCAGCCCAGCCAGGTAGAATCGCCCCAACATGCTTTCTAGACACAGTTGCTAGCTCACATAGGAAGTAATGCCCCAAGAATAAGTGAGAACACATGGGTTACCAAAACTTAGCGCCTTTACCTATATGGGCCTTTTTTTCTTTTTCACAGAAGTGGCTAATTTACCCAAAGTTCTCCTAAGATGCACCATACACCATGCTACTGGAAATTCTAGGGAAATTGTGCCTCATTAAACACAGGTTCTGGCTCGGCTTCCCCAGCCACAGCAGCCCTTCTTCCTGTATGGAGCTTAGTGACCCCGTCTGTCTTTTGTTCCCCCCTCCCTTCTCATTATCTGAGGTCTCTCAGAAGTACTCTACGGTGACTTTTTTTTCTACATGCTGAGGACCCGGCACAGTGTGAAACGGCCAACTTCTGTGTCTCTGTAACTGCCAACACAGACTGATCAGAGGAGTCTCCCACATGGGAACGAGCAAGGAACTGTTTTTCCACATGACAGAAACAGGTCGTGTTTCCTGAGGTTCCCTCTGTGCCCTGTGATTACTCACTGTAACCTTTGTCAACCCCCTTCCTACAGATGAGGAAGCAAAGCTTCATGGGAGTTGAAGCAGGATGTCCCCCATGATGCAGTGGACCTGAGACTCAGTCCTGTCACGTGGATGTCCATGCTTTCTCACGGCACCATGTCGCACAGGACAAGCTCCGGTTTCCTGTTCTCCTTCAGATGTTAGATAGTTTCCCTGAACAGAAATTTTAATGTTTTATAACTTTCAAGTGATTATGGTTTATGCATATGACTTGATATGCTTATAAGAAGAATCTTGGGTAAATTTGTTATGTCTTTTTTTAATCACAAAAAGTTGGTTTTCTAGGTTAACAGTCCTCTTATGAAACCATTTATCAATGATCTAGGTGTTGTATTTATTATTTTTATGTGTCTGTGGAAATCTAAGTCACATGTTCAGGTGAGTATGGAGGTCAGAAGAAACACTGGAACCCTTGGAGGTGGGGTCCCGGTGGCTGCTGGGAACTGAACTCCAGTCTTCTACAAGAAGTTATGTTTCTAATCCCAGAAGCATCTCTCTGGATGTTTCCTGGTTCAGATTTGGAGAGGACATTTGACTTTTATCTCATTATCAAAGAATTAGAGCTATACTTCCTTCCTTAAGAATTCAAGAAAGAACTTGTGAACACTTGCCTTTGACTGAGGAACACCTCAAAATGAAGGTGTCCATGGGCACTCTTTATATTTATAGGGCGGCAGTTAAATTGATGGATTGATAAGGATTGTAGAATGATACAAGTCTACATAAGAACTCTCTGACAGGAATAATAACTGTAGGACAGGGATGAATCCAGAGTTCTATTGATTATTATATGCTAAAAGCGTGGTATGCATAGGTCAGATCCAATTATAAAAAAGTGTTTGGAAATTGTAGTAGCTTGCTTGTTTCAAGTAATAGTCTTGGGTGAGAGAGTATTACATACTGCCTTTTTTGTCTTTTAAGGCTTTATTGTGACTCACAATTTCTGTCACCTAACATGCGTTGCTCATATAAGATTCACACACAAGCCATTTGCTCCTGGGAAATGCTGTAGTGACCCAGCATGGAGCGAGTGGTCATCCATGAGCACAGGTGTACCCACTGGCTGAGCATTGCCGTGCACTGAGCTGACTTCTAGGAACTGTTGCCTGTGTCTCATCCAGTCTTCCTAATGACCCTATCCAAGAGGCTTGCTGATTCTCATTTGTAGGCATAAAAACTAAGATTATCCATCCAAAATCACATAGCTGGATTCGAACCCTGGCAGTATCGTCCCCATGTCCTGTTCTGTGGCCAGGCAGCAATTGTGGTGGTGTTCCATGCTCCAGCCGGGGACAGGCTTTGTTTACATGAGATGTAACTATAGATACAAAACCGTGTGCTTTCATCCACTGTAATAACAAATTATGGTTAGCATGGCAGAATCAGCTCACAGCACATAAACCCAAACACTAAATGCCACATTAGTATGCAGGCCTGAGTGGTTGAATAATTTAAGCCAGCCCAGCTTCCTGCCGAGCGAGCAGGCTCAGCTCAGGTTAGAGTACATGAAGGGCTGAAAGCTGCACTGTTGAGTTTGTTCTGTTATATCCTGACTGACACCTGCTGTTTCTACTGACTTTCTAGACCGAAGTACAAGGTAGGAAAATTTAGACCAGATGTCAGATGCTGGAGAGAGCAAGAGGCAGCCCAGGAAATTAGATACGGGGTACCAGCAAACTCAGTGACTTGCAAATGGAAGTGAAAGCTTTCTAAGTCTCAGCACAATCCCACTCCTACCTTTTACAGAGTTCGAAGCAGTCTGCCTCAGAACAGAACCCAACTAAGGTGTGAAAGCAGCTCTTCTCTTTAGACAGAGAGAGATTCCATTGGAGCCTAACACAAGTTGCTAGGGGCAAGGTCTACTGTTCAAGCAAGGTTTTCGAGGAGCTCTTGCTATTTATTAAGTGGGAGACATTTGGGCCAAACTGCTTTTCCAGGACTCACAAGTAGGGACATGCTCAGGGTGAAAAACGGCAGAGGAGAATGGTGGCCCTAAAGGCATTTGTTGTGGGTCGGTTAAATCATAGGTGAGTATGTACAGGTCTCCACCCTGCGGCACAGGTGAGATTCTCTTCAGTGCTTGAGAGGAACACGTAAGGCTCAAGGTCACCCTGCTAGCTAGTGAACAAGAGCTGTGCTTCATCTCCGCTCCTGGGTCTACCCTGGCCAATCCAGCACATGTCCCTTTCTGTGCCCAAGGACACGGATGATGTCATGGTATGTGTCTTGCATGGCTGCCTGTTCTTGGGTTTAGAAATTATCGTGACAACTGAATGCTGATTGTGTTCAGATAATTGACTTTGCTATAATTTAGAAGCCTGCATAATCATCTGCCATCCTGTAACCTTTGTTCAATATTTTAATGAAAGGCTGCCTTAGTCAGGAGCCTCCCTTAGTTACCGAAAGGCGGTTAATTAGTTGCAAGCATTAGGGAAGACTCTAAGGGAGCTGGAGACAGGGGATCCACAATGCAATGAAGACTGTCCAGGCCTGCCCTCTGGACTCTGACCATCATTTTCACAAGCGCTCTCTCCATCCACCTGGGAGCTGAAACTACCCCAGATTCCCATGGTCCTTCAGCTAGCCACTCCAGAGAAAAATTGCTTCCCAGACCAATCTAGCCAGAGGCCCGGGTGCCCCACTGGACCAACTTGAGCCACAAGTACTTTCTGTAAACTGCAGGTGCATGTAACCTGTGGTAGGGAGAGAAAGGGCCTGAGAGGTTGTCAGAGATGAGTGGGAAATGGTGTCGACTCCAAGCAAGAACATCCGGGAAGAGGGTTAGCACTGTGCTGAAGGAAACTTTCTATGTCTGCTCCCGAGTATACCGGAGCTCACCAGTGTATTCAGAAGTCCAAATTTCTGGAAAATAAGCTGCATAAATAAATGAGCCCTGTATAATCTGGATATTCTAGAACTAATTTTTCAAACTGAGGGTTACAACCCATGCTGAATCATGAAATCCCAGAGGTAGTACTTTTGGATGAAATGGATTTAAAAACAAAAAACAAAAAACTTGTATATAGCATGGACTGAGTAGTTGGTTTGGTTGGTTTTTTGTTTATAGACCTGAATGTTTTTGGGGATTCCCATGTGAAATGCATTTCTTTCTAGGTGTGCTGGTTCACCCACCCTGAATAGACA